TTTACTCACCATTGCATCCCTGGCACCTTGTACAATGCCTGGCATATAGTAAATGCTCAATAAATATTTGTTGAATGATTTCCCCCATTTTGCCTCCAAATTAAGCTATTTATTTTATAGTTTCAAGGCTTTCAATTGCTTTTATGGCAAACTAAGGAGTTACCTAGGAAACCCTCATGAACTGGTCCTTGGGACTCTTCTGGTTTCTTTCACTGCTATCCTACTTCCAATTTAGGTTGTAATCTGATGCGTTTACCCTGTTTGAGCTCTGGTGTTGCCATGTACTGTTGTTGCCTCTGCCCGGAACCCCCCTCTCTCCTTCACTATAGGTGGTAGAATCCACTCATTCTGGCATTGGCTCATATGGGGCATCACATTGATTTGCTCATCTATTTACATGCTTATAGTATTCACTACAGTACCACTCCAGAGACTGTGTCTTATTCACTTGTGAATTCCAGCCTCTAACACAATGGCTCACAGAGTAACCCTCAATATATAAAAAACTGAATTGAATTGGAATTGCACTCTCCTCTACTATATTTTTTAGTTTTTAGAAAATGCTTTTAATGGGTCTTCTAGAATGATGAAATGTCTTTAAAGCTGCAGTGAAACCAGGGCAATAAGTTTAGAGCCATAATTTCTTGAAAGAGAGTGATGAAAAATCATCGTTTATCTCTGAGCCACCCTACTGAGATCACAGCTTGGACACTGAGCTTAGTTTTATGCACCTTATGTTCTAGGTAACTGGAAGATGATTGCAAAAGATGGCACTAAGAAGGATTAAGTGTGATTATTTATGAGGCATAGTTAAAAGCAGACAGTATGCATATGTTCACTAGCTATAGGGAATAGACAGATCTCTAAATATCTGATGAACAAATCTACCCAAGGAATACATTTAACACAGAACAACAAAGGGAGAAAGAAGATGAGAGAACAAAAAACATAGGTGAAAAATTTAGAAAATTTTTAGCACATCATAAGATGGCTCTTACTAGCAACCAGAATTCTCCAATGGTAGCCAAGAAGCTTAATGATCACAGGTTGAGAAATGTGTGAAGCAGACTAGAGCATTTGGGTACGACTGAGTTTCCCAAGCTTTCTATACTTTGTATTGCAAAAATAATGCATTGTTTTTCCTTTTTTCTAATATAATATTTTTTATTAGATATTTTTTCAAATAAATCCCAAATTTGTAATAAATTACAAATAAATAAAGATTCTTGTCTGAAGGTCTGAATTATGACCTGTAACATATGGTTAAGATGAATTATGCAGAGGGTTGAACTCTTTGACCTCTATGGCCTTTTTAGTTTCGAAATTCTGTTTCCATGGTAAAGATTTCCCTGTAGGCCATGTGTGCTTGAAGAGGATGCTGTTCGAAGTGTTTGACTAAAGCTGACCAGTTTTTCTACACACAAGGATGGCCCTAAGCTTCGTGATAATGGGGGATTATTGTGTAGTTACCAGTGCCTCTTACCTTTATGATTTAGTTGAATGATACAAGTGGTACAAATGTCAGGCTCTTCTAGTACTTACCCTGTTTGCTTTTTTAGCCATAATATAGTCATTTGTTAACCATATATTTATTAAGTGCCGACTACTGAATAATACGAAAATGAAGTCCTTTTTTTTTTTTTTTTTTTGAGATGGAGTCTCGCTCTGTCACTTGGGCTGGAATGCAGTGGCACAATCTTTGCTCACTGCAGCCTCCGCCTCCCAGGCTCAAGTGATTCCTTGCCTCGGCCTTCTGAGTAGCTGGGACTACAGGTGTGAGCCACCATGCCTGGCTAGTTTTTGTATTTTTAGTGGAGATGGGTTTTCACCATGTTGGCCAGGCTGGTTTCAAACTCCTGACCTCATGATCCGCCCACCTCGGCCTCTCACAGTGCTGGGATTACAGGCATGAGCCACCGTGCCTGGCCTGAAAACAAGGTTCTTACCTTCATGGAGTTTACCTTTTGTTTGAAGGAGACAGATGATAAACAAAAGGACAAATAAATGAGGCTATACTTTCAAGTAAAGATATTTGCTATGAAGAAGTGCTATAATGGCACAATCCATAGAAGCCTTTCACAAAATTGTCTTCTGGGTCTAAAAGTCACCCAGATCTTGATGCTACTTTCTTAAAATATCCACGCAGTTTACTCATGTTTCAAGTCCATAAAATGAAAAACACAATGTTTTCAACATGTTTCTTTAAATTTCCTTTTCCCCTTTTCTTAATCTTCTTTCTCCTTACACTACCACACCCCAAAGCTCCCAAAGCACCCTCCTTAAATGCCCAAAGAGTTCCTGTTCCCCAGTGTAAATGAGGCTTTTGCTATTGTTCGGTTTGTATGTCTTAGTGAGGATTTAGAAAGTACAATCTATCTTAATTGCTCATGAGTGACACAAGGTGGTAGGCTGCTTGGGCTTTTTGTATTTATCTACTTAGTTTCTGACTTATTCTGTTAGTTTCAGTGACATGAGCTTGTGGTAAATCAAAGCCACCTGTAGCAGATATTATTGGTGCCCTGCCAGTATTCTATATTCCCTTACTATTTCAGTGTATACCAATCTGACTCTTAATTCTTCTATCTCTGGCATCTGTGGCCACTGAGGCAACTCTGTCTACTCTTAGAACATGGCAGACAAGCCAGGGTCTTAATAATCCCTGAAAGTAGCCCCCAATCATTGACTGACGGTATTGGTGTTTAAACAACCCAGTTATCTTGTCCTCTTGTTGGAATCACTCAGTCTAAGGTATGTGTTCCACATTGTTTCCCAGAGATTCCTAGGAGGATTAAGTTCTGGGTGCCCTTAGCAGTAATGTGCTAGATAAGCCATCTTTTTGGTCTTCTCTTCCCTATTTCACTTTCTTAGTCTCTTACTGGTGTTTCCTGCAATAATCTCCTAAATAAAATACTTGCTCTTGAATACCTGTCTCCAGATCTGCTTCTCGGAGAACCCATACTAAGGTGGTTATTAATTCAGTCAAGTTGCAGATCAGACAGTAACCTCCCACTGACTGTCTTGGCACTTGAAGGTCCTGAATCCAAGGCAAGTGCCATGTCTTCATGCTCTTTGTGAATGTATCTGTTGCTCAAGGTCATGGGTGACCTTGAGCCCAGCAGTCAGCATTATCCACAGCTGAAGTAATACCTATGTGCTCATATTAGGTTATCCGACAACAGTGTAATAATCATTAGACACCACTGTTTAGATCCTGAGTATGTTCATGACATTTGCCTTTTGACTGCTAAGTAGAAGATGTAATGATTACAGGCTGATGCTTTCTCAGGAGGAGGAAAGTTATTGAGCTTTCCAGTTTCATATGCTCCTGATTTTCTTCCACGTTTAGTCTGGCTGCTGACACATGTGTTGAAATCTTTCATGTCGATCAGCTTGAGAATAGCTGGGACTGCTGAGCTAAGTCTGTGCTCATAAAAGAACAAAGAATTGTATTACAGGAAATGACCCCAAATTGACATAAGATTAGGCTAGGAAGCCTGAACAGGGGTTTTAATCTCTGTGCACACAATCAGTCTGTACATATATTGATCACATTCCTGCTGTTTTAACTATAATTTTTTTTCAATTTCACTTTGTTATTCACAATTTGATAATATTTTATGTGGTCATGGTGTCTGTGTGATGAACTATAATCCAGTGTGACATTCTCTGAGACTCAAGCTTCCAAGGACATCAGAATTTCACACCAGGACACTTTGTAGGACACCTTACTACTCTCCATGGGATTCAAATATCAGAAATGATGAGAGATCTAAGACTTGATGTAATCGCCTACATGTAATGAATCAGGCCAAAGAAAAAAGTGAGACATAGATAAAGGAAATGGTGCTAAGGCAAATGGGGACCTATCTTAGTGTTTGTCTTAGAGTAACTGCTCTTTGTGTTTCCTGATGTAATGGCAAGAGTCTGAGGCAGGAATCTAGTCCCTGCTTAGGAGCTGTATGACCTTGTGAAAATTACTTAGGTATTCTTCAATTTGTAATTGCATTTATTGCAAAATTAAGTTTACTTTTCATACGTCACTAGACTCAGAGCATTTTGAGGTTAGGAATTGGGTCTGAATCAATGATTTCTCCAGCACCCACATGGCATTTGGCACATAATACATCAATAATGATTTTGGATTAAAAAAGGGAGCAAGCACAAGGAACCAAGGTGGTCAGAGACGGGTTGAATTCATCTGCACCAGAGAAAGGGAGACTAGAGGAGAAAGGTCACACTGGATTTCGTTCAATTATTGAAAATATGGTGTATTTACTATGTGCTGGACACTTTTCTAGGTGCTAGAAAGACAACAGTGACCAAAACAAAAATCCACATCTGCATGGATCTTGCATTCTAGTGAGAAAGTAAGATGGTAAAAAAGATAAATAGGTAAATTTTATACAATGCTTCGTAACGACAAGTGCTAAGAAGAAAAACAGCACAGAAAAGACAGAAAGGAAAAGGGAAGGGGCACATGTGGTGCAATTTTGTTAGGATGCCAGGGAGGGCTGAGCGTAGTCGTAAATGACCACATCATTTGATGGATCAAGTCAGGGACTGCGAGTCTGTGTTTCTGAGGGACACATAAAGAAAAGAAGGCTTCAGGAATCCAGAAAGATCCAGAGTGGGGAAATGAAGTGAAAAGAAATCCAGTCAGTGGGGAGTCGTGAAGGGATAAGTTAAACGCGTTTTGGGAGCAAGGAAGAAAGCAAAAGTGCGGTACAGCCTTTCATTACACGTGAAAAGAATCATGTTTCTTTTTCTAGTTAGAAAAAGCTAAAGATTGTGCGATTTATGTATGCCCAAAATCCCCTTCTAAGGGGATTCTCACCTTAACTTGTCTTCCGTGGTCAGTGTTTCCCGCCCCTGAATCTGGGTTACTGTCACTATGGCTTTCAATTGGCCCGGCTTAGGCGCATGCTCTGCGCGTATTGGCCTCCGCTCCTGTCCCCAGACAAGCGGCCATCTTGGGTCCCGCCCCTACCGTGGGGTCTTCTGGGAATTGCAGTCCCCGCTCCGCTCTGTCCCGTCACAGGACTTTTTGCCCTCTGTTCCCGGGTCCCTCAGGCGGCCACCCAGTGGGCACACTCCCAGGCGGCGCTCCGGCCCCGCGCTCCCTCCCTCTGCCTTTCCTTCCCAGCTGCCAACATCCTGGAAGGTAGGGGCGGGGAGGCAAGCCCAAGTGGAATAGTGTTTCTGGGGCGCGGGTCTGGGTTTCCACGCGCGTCTGGTTATCACCCCGGAGCCCAGTGGGGCCGGCGCCTCTCACGGGGCGGTGGGCTTCTGTCCCGAGGACTCTTCTGCCCCACGAGGGTCTCAGGGTGGGGACTCGGGCCCCCTAATTCCCAAGCACCGACCCTAGCCCTAACCCGTTACTCCTCCACCGTATTTATAAGTGGGGAAACTGAGGCATGGGGCCACGCCAGCGGTTCCGGGGACGCCACAGCTCTTGGCTCTGGGGGTGTAGTCGGCACCCGCCGTTTTGGGATGGTTCGTCAGTTTCATAGACAAGTAGCGAAAATCCGTCCCAACAGGTCTGTGTTAAACACGCAGCTCTGGGTTCCCCTAAGGGGTTGCTGAACACGTGCGCAGGACAGGAGCAAACCGGGGTACAGAGAAGGCAGCATTTTGGGAGATAAGTTTACATTACTATTTCAAAAACAGACAAAAAGTCATCGAATTTATTGTTGTGGGAGAATTCGTCGGTACTTGGTCGGACTTTCTTACACCTATTTTATGGTTTGTTGTTTTTATTTTTAGCGTCAAAGGGGGGATTTTAAAGGTATATCCGAGTTGGGGGTGGCGGGGTGAAGGAGGCAGGTTAGTGGAACTTGAGATGCATCTGCAGGTTTCTCTGTAGGCTTAAATTCTGCCCTCGCTGTGTTACCTTGGAACAGCCACTCACAGCGCTTATCTGGGAAACAAGGAGCCCAAAGCTCCCAGGTCAAGTGGCCCAAGGATGCTGCCTGAAGCCGAAATCTAAATTGAGGTCATGCTTGCGAAAGTTTACCACTTGCAGATTTACTGCTGTTATTATTCTGGTCTCTCAGAAATGTGCTGGGACCAGTGGAAAATACCCACAGTGGTTGTTTTAGAAAGGTTCTGACCCGGGCCGGGCCCAGACTACCAAGGGCGGTCCCTACTCGCACCTGATGTTAAGCCTTGGTTTAAGCCTGCGGCCGGAGGCCTGGGCAGCGGAGGCTCCTGGGAGTTGCAGTCCCGCCCCTTGTTTCTCGTCGAGCAGGTACTCCACCTCGTGGGGTGCCATTTTGCACGGCGAGATGTCTCCTGGGAGATGAAGTCTCGCTTCTAGCCGTTCTGTAGAGCAGCCCCTTGACTCGGAACTACAACTCCCATGTGGACCTGCGTTCATGGCTGCCGGCCTCTGTCCACCTGCTGCAACCTGGACTAGAGATGTTCAGTAAAGAAAGAAGTCTAGGGGTGTGTGTGTGTGTGTGTGTGTGTGTGTGTGTGTGTGTGTGTGTGTGTGTGTGTGTGTGTGTGTGTGTGTGTGTGTGTGTGTGTGTGTGTGTGTGTGTGTGTGTGTGTGTGTGTGTGTGTGTGTGTGTGTGTGTGTGTGTGTGTGTGTGTGTGTGTGTGTTGTTACTGATTGCATATGCTGTTCTAAGTATTAGATATGGGAGTGTTGTATACAGTGTTCCAAGTATTAATGTACATGCTTTCAAAACCACTAACACTTGACCATTTAGATCATGTTCACATGATCTCTTTTTAATACTACATTTCCCATTTGTATATGAGAAAAAACTTGAGAAGATAGCTGATGATTACACAGCTGGCAATATAATATATATTCAATAAAATATGTATGATATGATTTAATCCTCTTAAAAGCTATATGAGAGTGAGAACCATTTTTTTTTTTTTTTTTTTTTTTTTTTGAGACGGAGTCTCGCTTTGTCACCCAGGCTGGAGTGCAGTGGCCGGATCTCAGCTCACTGCAAGCTCCGCCTCCCGGGTTCACGCCATTCTCCTGCCTCAGCCTCCCGAGTAGCTGGGACTACAGGCGCCTGCCACCTCGCCCGGCTAAGTTTTTGTATTTTTAGTAGAGACGGGGTTTCACTGTGTTAGCCAGGATGGTCTCGATCTCCTGACCTCGTGATCCGCCCGTCTCGGCCTCCCGAGAACCATTTTTATATTAACTTTACAGATTAGAAAACTAAGGCTAGGAAAGCTAAGTAACTTGTTCAAGTTACAATACTGGTGAATAAAAGGACTGAGACTGTAAGCCCTTCGGCTTAACAGTGTCTGCTTAGAGAAAGACCTACCTTACAGAGCCAAGGGAGAGTCCAACCTTTCTGGTTACAGAATTTTGAATATTTTCATTATACCATGTTGCCTCTGTAGTTAGACACTAAAGGTTTGAGCTGCAAAAAATTTGAGATAATTTAATTCTAATGCAAAGATCTTGGAACACTTCTTGGCCTATAATAAAGGTTCCACAAATGCTAGCTGTATATTGTTGTAGAATACCTTTATTTTAGAGATGAGGAAACTGGCCCAGGTGGTAAAGCAGTTTGCCCAAGGTCACACACACAGTTGGTTTGTGTCAGAGATGAGACTAGAACCAAGCGTCTTGTTTTCAAGTCCAAGGTTATTTTCATTCTACCAGCAGTCAGCTAGGAGGAACAGCAGATGTGTAGCTTTGTAGATGATGGTTTCTCCTGTAATTTGTTCTTTCAAGGCCACAGACCAGGACCAATTGTTGTAAAGTATCTTATTATTGGTAAGGTTGTAATATTTCATGAATTCAACAAATATGTTTTGAGCTTCTTTATATGGTCATCTCTCTTAACGTGCAGGGACCACATAGATGATAAGGACTTAATGCATTCGAACTGGAAGGACCTTATAAATCATCTAATCTAACTCTTATTTTATAAATGAGGAGAGTGGTATAAAGTAGTGTGCAATCTTCATCTCATGCCCTCATGTCAAAAGCATCCTGTTTCTGCAAGAAGGCAAATTTCTGGAGTCCTCACAGTAGTGTGGATAACCTTTTCAGGCTTATGCTTTTCTATTTGGTATCCTTGTCTTGGCCTTTTTTCCTGCAGCCTTTGATAGAATGCTTTAGGAAATGTTTTTGTGTCCCCATCTTTATTTGTGTATTCATGTAACTTCAACATGCTCTGTTTCCATTTTGGAAATTAGTCTGGTTTTGTCTCCCACTACTCTTTTCTCTTTTATTCTTTCAGGCACTTGAGAACAAATTCTGACACTATGTTTGCATTCACATGTTAAAATCTGACCCTCTAATATGAACTATCAGTAATCTAACAAGTTGTGACTTCCATTTTGGAAGACATATTGGCCTTTTCAATTATGTATTCACAGATAATAAGGCAGGTAACTCTGGTCTCTTCTGAAAGATGATTTCCATATAGTTGCGTAATAAAGTAACAGTTTTATGAATTGTTGGCTAAACATTCCTGAAACAGTCTATTTGAGAAGTTTTCCTCATCACCCCATGCTCCCACCCCCACACTCTCCCAACTGATAGTCTGATCATTCATCTTCCACCACAGTGCCTGACCACCAGTAGACACTGAAAAAGTACTTGTGGCATTGCATTCATAAGCACTCTGTTCCCACATATTTTCATTGAATCTGTTTACTCTTTTAATGTAGAAGTGCAGCTTTGAAATATAAGATGTAGGAGGTTACTTTGCTTTCAACATGTACATTGCAGAGAAAAATCTCAGCCTTTGAGGTCATTCTCCAAGGGGTTGTCTCTTTGGGAATGTCCACATCTGTGACTTCTCAGATGAGAAAGTGATCCAAATAGTAAGACATAGCAGAGAAGCAGTAGAGGGGTTGTCTGAGGACCTATGATTTAATTCCCAGCTGTGCCTTTTAGACAAGTTACTTAGCCCTTGGTTTTCTCTCTTAAAATAGGGATAACAAGCATTTCTACCTCACAGTGATGATGAAGAAGAAAGTGTGTTTAAAGCTTTGAGCATGTTGTCAGGCTCTTAACAGCTTGCAGTCAATAGATAAATATAATAGGTCTTATTTTTGTTATTGTAAGCCTGATATATGAAAATTCACATTTCCTCAAGATTTAAAACTTGAGGCAGATATTTATATTATAAAAGAATTTGTTTGCCGCTTGTTTTCTTAGAGTAGCACACTTGGTCATCACATTTAAAATATGAAGTTCCTCACAACTCTTGATAATCTGTCTTGTCAGCACAGTGACACTCTCTTGTGTGGGCAGAGAGATAGTGAAGCTTTTGGCTCGGTACTGCCTGCTGAGAGGTCCCTGATCTATGGTTCCACCTATATATTAAATCTTTGATTTAAAAGCAGTCTGTTTCTGTCAGTGGGAACTTCTGTCTGTCTCTAGAAAGGATTGGGCCTATCCCAGGAGCCTCAGGGTTAGAGTGAGGCAGTTGTCATCCAGCTGGTGAATAATACTGGGACAATGACCATGGGGATGTGGCAGTGCTTCTTTCTAAAGCTGACAACTTCAGTAGCCATGAGGTTACTGATAAGGAGGTGAGTTACTGAAAAGAAGTGTTGCAGGGAACAGGGAAGGAGAAACAGGAATGCGGATCACAGCAACAGCAGAGGAGACAGACAAAGGAAACAGCAGAGGCCCTCGGCATCCTAAACATGTTTTTATTCAGCACATTTATCTTGCTCCTAACTCTGTGCCAGGCACTGCATCTGCTCTGGTGAGAGCAGTAAATGGGGCTGGTAGGGAGGCAGTGATGGGGTGAATGAGGGTATATTCTCGGCAGGGAAGAACCTAGTACAAGGGAGGAAGGGAGGAAGGGAGAAAGAGAGGGAGGGAGGGAGGGAGTGTTGGGATTTGATGAGCAGAAAGAAGGTCTGTTTGCCTAGGGTATGAAAATCAATGGCTGGAGGAGGTGGAGAGAATAAGGCTGCAGAGGTGAGCCTGAGTAATAGATTTATTTTTCTTTTTTTAAATTTTACTTTAAGTTCTGGGATACATGTGCAGAATGTACAGGTTTGTTACATAGGTATGCATGTGCCATGGTGGTTTGCTGCACCTGTCAATCTGTCATCTAGGTTTTAAGCCCCGCATGCATTAGGTATTTGTCCTAATGCTCTCCTTCCCCTTGCCCTCCACCCCCCAACAGGCCCCGGTGTATGATGTTCCCCTCCCTGTGT